TAGCAGCCAAAATATGATAAATATGGCTATTAGTTGAGGGCAAAAATTGTAAAACAATAATTAGTTTAATGGACTTCAAAATATGGGCTTTTACCACATAGGAAGGGAAGCCAAACCCAACACCAGGTACTGTAGAGTTTCAAAAAAGTTAAATGAGCTTCATTTTGAAGAATAAATTATGGGAAAATTCCAATGCCTCCTTTTTGACTCCTCAAATTCATCTTCAAAATGTTCTAAAAGTGATGAAGCCCATTAAATTTATGAGCTTACTGCCTTTTCTTCATCATCCTCTTCAGAATCTGAATCAAAGAAAAGGATAAATGTTCTCACTAACGATAACAAAATTGTCTCTGATATCATCAGTCATATATAGGATCCTGAAATTCAAAGAGAATATCTCATATATATATATATTACAAATAAAATAATAATCAATTTTTTGTGACAACTTATGCTCTCCCTTCTCATTGGAGAAATGATTAAAAAAAAATAGAAAAATTGAGTGAGGAGTTTAGCGTAGCAGTTCAAAGAGGCTTCATTTTGTTGCTGATAATCAATTGATGTTGGTCGGATATGGAAATTGTTATAACAATGTAAATGTAAAACCCTAACTATAACTTTTCATAAATGGTTTGATTAATAGAAATTAAGTTAGGTAATATGATCAATAGGAAAAAGAAATTATTTATAACTTATTTAAAGTATTGTATCATCAAAGAGGAACGGAAAGGAACGAAAGACAGCAAAAATTGAGTTGAAGAGTATAGCTTTTAATTATGATCATCAAAAGTCATTTTATAGTAATTTATTGTTTGATGGAAACAGTACAGAATAAGCATGGCCAAATTACTGTTCCGGGAACCGGAACCGTCGGTGTTAGGTAATATGATCAATAGGAAAAAGAAATTATTTATAACTTATTTAAAGTATTGTATCATCAAAGAGGAACGGAAAGGAACGAAAGACAGCAAAAATTGAGTTGAAGAGTATAGCTTTTAATTATGATCATCAAAAGTCATTTTATAGTAATTTATTGTTTGATGGAAACAGTACAGAATAAGCATGGCCAAATTACTGTTCCGGGAACCGGAACCGTCGGTCATGGCCAAATTACGTTCGGGAACCGGAAACCGTCCGGTTCGAACCGGTCCCGGAACCGTTAACCGGAACCGTTGAGAATTCGGATCAACCGGGACGAACCGGAATTTTCAAAAACCGGAAAATTTCGATTTCGGTTTTCTGGTTCAGAAAATTAGAACCAGAACCGGCGGTCTAGAGAATCGGTTCGGAACTGGACTGGAACCGCCGGTTCTCCGGCCGGTTGAAGAAACCGCCGGTTCGAACCGCGGGTTCTAGCCGTTGTAACTGTCAGACCTTGGTTTTTTTTTTTTTTTTAATTTTGTTGGAAAATCTCTTAATTTACCCCTTCAACAGCATTAAACTGGCTACAAACGGCTAGTTTCAAGGGTAATTTTGGAAAAAATGAATTTTTGGATTTATTTATAAATACCTCATTTTATTTACAAATTCATTTACAAAAAAATACTTCAACTCTCTTCTACTTACTCGTTTCTACAAATTATTACTATACTCCTCTAACTTACTCTCTCTACAATATACACCACTTTACTCTTATATTAATTCATTTATTCTTCTCATACTCTACAATCTCTCTTATTAAGTTATTAATTATTCTCTTCTAATTTTTTTTATTCAATTTTCCAAAATTATATTTTATTCATCATAGTATAATGGCAAGTGGAGGAAAAACTCAACATTTCGGGTAAGGGCAAGGGAAAGATTTGGAGAAATCATCTAATCCCTACAAACGACATCTTATGGATATGATTCCCGACAATTTAATTTGAGGGTTATCCAAATGAAAAATTTTGGATATTCCAACTCAAGATCTGAATTTAATGAGACAATTACAAGAAGATGAAAGAGCAAGGAGCGAAGAGCAACGAGCACCAAAATTGTATTACAAGAGCAAGGAAAAAGTTCCGACATATCTCCATTCATTTCCACAAAAAAAAATTCAAAGGTGAGGCAACATGTACGATGTAATTTGCATAGTATTGTTGGGAAAATCTTAGTATAATTTAAACAAAGCGGGCAGCTATGGATCATTTTGGAAGCATTTGGAGACAAAAACATCCAACAAAAATAGGAGTTTAATCGGTCTCAAACACAAAAAATCTTCCGGGGTACGCCTTTCTAACCTTTCTTTATTTTAAATATTTCTTGAAAAATTTACAAAAAGAAGAATTAACAAAAAATGATTTCTATGGAAACATTTATCTTTTAGTTTTTTGTGAAAAAGTAGGGTTTTAATAATTATTGTCAAAAAAGCTTTAATCCTTCTGCTAAAAGAGTACAAAGAAATTACTGTAAAACGAACCTATTATTTCTTTATATAATAAAGGAACAAAAAAGTTAGAGCTTCTTTATTTCTCAAATGAAAATTTCGTTGTTTCAATTTGTTGTGATGTTTTGGAGTGATCATTCGGCAAATGGCATTCTTATATGAGTATTAACATGTTCATTGGATGATGAATGATTGGAAAATCAAAAAGAATTATTGGTTTTCGTGTTTTTGGTGATAACATACTGCAAAAATAATTATTTATAGAGTAATTGTTTCAATTTTAGATGAATTATAAGTGACAAAAAATTTCTTTTCAATTTCATTTGATAATGCTTCTGCAAATACTAGATTCAATTATTTGGAACTTTAAAAAAATTTGTGAACCAAATATTGGTTGGAAAATTTTTTTCATATAAGATGTGCATGCCATATTTAAATTTATGTGTACAAGATTGCGTTTAAAAATTCTGAATATTTTTTTTCTCAATTAAAAAACATTATTTCATACTTTATGTTAACACATCCCCAAGTGATGAAAAGTTGGGCTAAATTTTTGTAAAAAAATAATTAAAAGACCAAACGTTTTTTTCAAGGGATGTCCCAAACTCGTTGGAATTCAAACATACGAATTACTAAATGCGGAGTCTTTTTTTTCTTATTAAAGAATTATTTATTGCCTTTTTTTGTTTACTAATAATATTGAGCGATATTAATTTATAATCCACAAAATTGGGAGAATTTGTGCAAAAATTTTAGATATTTTAAAAATTTTTTAATTGATTGCTACTATTAAAATTAGTGGGAGGGTTTATTATCACACATATTTCATTTATATTTACCTATGTGTATTATATTGTTACTGCACTCAAGAATTTTTTAAAATGATGATTTATTAAAGATTTATTTTCAAATGAAAAAAAAAGGTTATCTTATTTTAAAATATACCACCTCTTTATTCTTGTGTTATTGTATTTTGATTCCTAGATGTAGAATGAATATTTTTATGTGAATTATTTTGACTATTTATTTATGATGTATTAAATCTTTGATTGTAGAGATAATGTTTTAATATAAATGTAGTAATGCATGAAGTTAAACAAAATATTATTGCAATCTTCTATATAATTGAATTTGTTCAAAGTTTTCTAGTTCATCTACTTCTACTTCTACTTCTTTCTCAATCTAATATTTCAAACAATTTCCAACACAAAGGGTAAGTGGTGTTGCACTATGGTTCGTTGTCAACAAGTTTTTACTACAAGAGAAAAAAGAACAAGGAATCAGTTCTATTTCTGAATTTTTGATAATTTATCTAAACAAACTTTCTTTTGGAGTTTGGTGGATGATTATGCAGATACTGATTTCCCAATTTTTAGATTGGTGGAGTTATCACGCCAAATACTTTTCCAATTCTTTCTTTACTTGCAAAAAAATTTTAGCAGCTCGTCTCCACTGTTGCCAGTTGAACAAGCCCACTGTTGCGGTTGAACAAGCTTTTAGTCAAGGAGGAAATATACTTAATGAAACACGATCTCGTATGACACCCGATTCATTAGAAGCATAAGCATGCGTAGATGATTGGACCAAGGCCGAACTAAGAGCCCAAGAAAATCCAAAAGAAAATGAAGATTTTTTTGATTTATACGAAGCGTCCTCAATGGGAACAACCGGTGGTGCAAATAGCGATTAAGGTAAAAGGAGTGAAATTGGTATAAGGTAAGTAAGAACTACGTGGGCTTTGATTCCTCTAAACACCAAGAGGATACGTAGGCAACTTAATTTTTTTTTAAAACAAAAAAAAAAAAAGTTCAAGCCCATTTTTTTTTTAAAAATTATGTTCAAACTTTAAAAAAAAAAATTCAGTTGAAATTTTTAAAAATAATTATATTCAAACAGTTTCAAGTCTTTTAAAAAATAAATTTATTTGAAGTATTTTTTTAATTTTTTAGGTTGTATTTTTAATTTTTTATGTTCAGATAATTTTTTTTTTAACCGGTCTTCAAAATTTAAATTTAAAATTATGCGATTCGTCGGAAAATCCGATCGGGAACCGTCGATTTTATAACCGGATTCGGAACCGGAACCGGGACGGTTGGAAAACCGATCGGAACCGTCGATTTTATAACCGGATCGGAACCGGAACCGGACGGTTCCAAACCGGAACTGGAACCGGACCTTTTCGGTTCGATTCCGGTTTCAATTTTTCTGGAACCGGAACCACCGGTTTCGGAACCGTGGCCAAGCCTAATACAAAATATTGGGAACTGAAAGTACAAAATATAATAATCTATTCTTAAAAATAGAAAAGTAAAATAGTTTTTTTTTTTTTGGCCTAAAATATAGTGCGTACCCATATAATTTTCCCTAAATTTTATATATTTTGTAATTGCACCCTAGCGCCTAGTTACACACCGTGCGGCAGCTACTCAGCCCCAAAAACAGTGGCAAAGTCTAATCAAGTAAAGTCCAACCAAACAAACGGTAACCAAGTGTCCAACAACGTCTAATCAATTAGGGTCCGGTTGTAATTTTGTGTAAATTCCAGGTCAATAATCAAACTCCATTTTCCCGCCCAATCCATAGCGCCTAGAAAATCCAATAAAATTAAAATCTAAAATAAATTACCTTTTTTTTTTTTTTTTTTCCATTTTCCTCTTTTCATTTATTGGGACAACATTTCACCTTCTCCGTGCTTCCTTATTCACCTTCTTGTTTTGTTTCCCTCTGATTCTTACTGTATGCACTTTTCTTTTGTTTTGTTATTCTTTTTTTATTTTTTCTTATAATTTGTCTAGTTTTTATATAATTCGTTTCAGTAAAACTGGGTTTGCTTCTAACCCTAGCTTCTATTTTCTATTTAATGGAATGATGTTTTTTAGTGCTCAAAATGGTCGAAAGCGAAATGAAGAACGACGCCTCTGCTGATTCGCCGACTTCGGTTCTCGAAGATGAGGTAAGCATTTTAATAATTTTTTTGGAATCAGAGGTCTAATGTCGTTTTAAAGTTTTCTGCGTTTTGTGATCGAATTTTTAGCACGTTTGGTTCAACTCGTAAAGCTTCTGCTATCTAAAACTATATTCATCCAAAGAAAGTATTCTCGGTAAATTTATGATTTTTACTTCTATGAGAAAAGAAAGAGAAATTATAACAAGGAACTGCTTTATAATTTCTTATTAAATTAAAAGTTTTGCTTTGTAAATATTGGTTTTTGATGTCTAACAGCTCTAGCCTAACATTGCTTTTTGAATTTGCTTTCAAAATAGTAAGAAACAAAAGCACAAGCTAGAAAAAAATTGACGCCTTTTCTATGTTTAAAGTGTATTATGATATTTGTTCACTTTTTGTATTATATTTTTTCCATCAATTTGACTTTGGTTCTTCATATGTTTCTTTGCCTTATTACCAATAACCTGTAATGTTTGTTCGCTGAATATTTGATGGAAAAGGAACATAATTTGTAATCATTTTGAGATTTAGGCTAAATTTGATGAGTTGTAATGGAATGTAATGTAATCAAATGAATTTTAGTGCAATGTGGATACATTAAAACTGCATTTGATTAGGTTACATTACATTACATTATGACCCACCAAATGTAGCCTTAATGTTCAGGTGGTTTCAGACAAATGTAGAATTTGAATGCGCTTTTAACCTGTAATTAACAGGTTAAACTTGTGAAGTTTAATTCTTTAAATTTATGCCAGAGCCTATATTTTATTAATATGCTTGCTGTTAAATTTTCCCCCTTAAATTTATATATTTGTAAGTTTGCTATTAGTATCTTCATTGGTTTGATTTATTTATTTATGGCTTTTATTTTGAAGGAGAAATGCAAGGAAAAAACTGTGCTCAAACCAGAAACTGACACCCTTCTAGATGCTGAAAATGAGGATTCTTCTCTTATATCAGGAGCCATGGCTGAAGAGGAAGAAAAACTGTTGGAAGCTCGGGTGAAACAAGAAGCAGAACAAGAGAAAGAGCCAGCAGAGGCACCTCACTTGAATGACAGCCAGTTCACCAAATTAGATGAGCTTCTAACTCAAACACAACTCTACTCTGAATTTTTGCTGGAAAAGATGGAGGAAATCACTCATGTATTCTCGGAACCTTTTTCAGATGAAACTTCCCTTAGTTTGGAGTTTTTTCCTTTATTATTCATGTTTAAATTTAATATATATTTTTGTATTTGCTAGAATGGAGTGGAGCAGGAGAGTGAAACTGTTGAGAAAAAGAGAGGACGTGGCTCAAAAAGAAAAGCTCCTGCTCAATACAATACTGTAATCCTTCCTATGCTTCTTGCTTTTGTTTATATATTATTTCATAGTATGTTGTGTAATTTTATACATGGATGCTCATTTAGGCCTTTCATGCGAGGCCAACTGTGAATTGAGGCTATTCTGATACTTAGTATTAGAAAATTTATTAACTAATTTGAAAGAAGATTTTAGCAAATAACTATGTTTGCATCTGGGATGCTAGATGGACTGACTATTGGTGCAATAGTGATGAGAAAAATATAGAGGAGATTTTATACCACTTGACAAAGATGATTTTAAAAAGTGAAAGTGTGATTATGTAGGATATGATTAAAAGGTTCAACAATTAATTTGCTGAAACTACAGTTAAAAATGATAAATTTGATTAGGCTCAGCACACGTCCAAGCATCGAATTATTTTCTCTCCCCTCTTCATAGGATGTCATATTCTTTAAAAGACTGGAACCAGAGCAGTTACTATGCTGTAAGCGACTGAAATATTAATTGGTTAATGCTGCTCCTAAAACTCTCAGCTGACTAATGCGCCAAGTGAAAAAAAAGTGAAAATAGTGGAAAGTTATTGGGTTTTTCTCCCCCCTCTTTGTAGGATGTCGTATTCTTTACATAAATGATGCTCAAGTAATTGACAATCTCATGATAACCTGACTTCTTGATCTTCTGTTCTTAATGTTGTTGGTTATGTGCTTCACTGTGGTGTCTTGATGTTTTTAGACTGCCTTAGTACTTTAACATATAATGATAAACGCTGTCACAACTTTTAGAGGAAAGCAACAAGAGCAGTTGCTGCAATGCTGACAAGGTCTAAAGAAGTTGAAAAGGCTGAAGATGAAAATTTGACCAAGGAAGAAAGATTGGAGACAGAGCAGAGAGAGCTAGTGCCTTTATTAACTGGTGGAAAGTTGAAGTCCTATCAAATCAAAGGTGTGAAATGGTTGATTTCCTTGTGGCAAAATGGGCTCAATGGGATCCTTGCTGATCAAATGGGACTCGGAAAAACTATTCAAACAATTGGTTTCCTTGCACATCTAAAAGGGAATGGCTTAGATGGCCCCTATTTAGTAATTGCTCCTCTTTCTACTCTCTCAAATTGGGTAAATGAGATTTCAAGGTAAACTTTTAATTTTTTTTTTCATGTAGACTAACAAAGCTTCATTTCTTATTATGCAATTTAATTGATTCTCTTATGAATTTGTTTCAACAGGTTCACTCCCTCTATCAATGCAGTTATCTACCATGGTGACAAGAAACAAAGGGATGAGATCCGGAGAAAATACATGCCCAGATCTATTGGCCCCAAATTTCCGATTATTGTTACTTCTTATGAGGTTGCATTGTCTGATGCGAGAAAGCATTTGAGACATTACAATTGGAAATATGTTGTGGTTGACGAGGTATGTATCCTAGTGAATTTGTGGACTTGCTAACCCTCAGAGTTCTTTCAAGTGTGTCTAGGCATCCTGAAACTGCAAAGTGCAAAGCACCAAGCAAGAATATTTTTTCTTTCCACTGTCTAGTAAGATGGATTTACCTTAATCTAGTAAAAAGAGACTGACACATTATTGGCAAAAAGTGCTGAAAGTGCATTTTTTTTTTTTATTTCTGTTAAGTCAAAATATGAGCCAATTATTTTTGATTGTTCAATTTCTATTTTGATTCACTGATTACACGTACTTTTATTGTTTCATACATTATCAGTATTGCTAAATGTGCATGCCCAGGCCTTGGCACAACTAGGCACAGGTACCTTGCTTGGACCATACCTATGTGAGGTGCAAGCTTGGCAGGCATGCCTAGGACATCCTGGCCCCTTAGCCACAGTGCTGGATCTATGTACCTGATGTTATAAATGTTTTTGCTTATTTGGACAATTTGTGTCTTTATATTTTAAAAGTTGATTATTCCATATCTAAAACTAATGTGAAATTGCTAACTTTTTTAACTTTCCTGAGATTCCTTATTGAAACCTGATGCAAAAAGGTGATTTTTGAACTTTCTAATCCTATAATTACTACAGAATTTCACCTGAAAAAGTCATTCAGAAGTCTGAATTCCATTTTCTCTAAGGCAAAGAAAAAGGCACATGTTCTCTATTATCCCACCAAGATCTATTTTTATTTTTATTTTTTTCTGTTTTTTATCCCTTATTATTCAACTAGAACTTCTTTTTGTCACATGCACTTTGTGGCCACTGGGTTCTCGTCTTGCCTTTTGTGCCTCAGGCTCTTGCGCCGTTTGTGCATTTGTCTGCCTTGGGCATTCGACAAAACTGCACACTGCACTTCACATATTTTCCATTATATCTTGAAGATTGCTGCTTTACTTTTTTCATTCCCCTGCTTTGTACCTGGTCTCTAAGAGACATCAGTGCTTAATGATGCATTGTACTTTCAAAACCTTGATTTGTCTTCTCTTTTCTTTTGCTATTGTCCTGATTATTTATTTATTTTTTCTGAAGGGGCATAGATTGAAAAACTCGAAATGCAAATTGCTGAAGGAATTGAAACTCATACCTATGGAGAATAAGCTTCTGCTTACTGGAACACCTCTGCAGAACAATTTGGCTGAACTTTGGTCATTGTTGAATTTCATTTTGCCTGATATTTTTCAATCCCATGATGAATTTGAGTCATGGTAAGTTAATTGTCTTTGTTCTTTTGCCACATAATCTTGGTTAAACATGAAAATTCATTTGTTCTTGCTAGTTGGTCATGGCTTTTCCTGTAATTGTGCAGTAGAAAATGTTTGATGGTTTCACATGCCCCATATATACTGTCGTATATACTTTAAATTTTCACATGGAAGTTCACTGGTTTTTCTGACTTTACACCTTCAAAGCTCTTAGTCTACTTGGAAACTGTAAGAGTTTTGGCTTCCATTTTAGTGGATTAGATCTGCAAATTTGAAGATAAGAGACAAGAGTTCATCTTTTCTTCTGTTAATTATATTTTCCTTGTGAAGGCAACAAATAAGGCAATTAGATGATTAATGTGACTGACAAAGCAATAAACAAGGTCAACAAGGGAAAAAGTGTGATTGCAAGTACAAGAGTGTATGTCTGTTGGATTGTCTAAAGTGGTCTTTCTACCTTGCTTCACAATTTTTAGTAAAAAGCAGTACAGTTTTATTGTGCATTTACCAAGGTTGTTAGATTGCTGCTTGTGATTGATGTCTCGAGCAATCTTCCCCTCTACCATGGCAACCTGTTATTTGTGCGCTTGACTTTTTTATCGAACCCTCGTGTAGTTGGAGTACATTTAATTTCTGGAATCATTATTGAGAATGACTGGGGATGCCACATTCTTGTGTTTGGTTTGCATTTCATGGGAATGTTACATTTCTAGGGAAGTGTGTGATTGCAAGTACAAGAGTATATCTGTTGGATTGTCTAAAGTGGACTTTCATCCTTGCTTCGCTATTTTTAGTAAAAAGCACTGCAGTTTTATTGGGCATTTTTCGAGGTTGTTAGATTGCTGTTTGTGATTGATGTCTCAAGAGCAATCTTCCCCTCTTCCATTGCAACCTGTTATTTGTGCACTTGACATTTTTATCAAACCCTTGTGTATTTGGAGTGCATTTAATTTCTGGAATCATTATTGAGAATCGCTGGGAATATCACATTCTTGTTTTTGTTTGCGTTGCATGGGAATGTTACATTTCCAGGAAAGTCATATTTCTTTATCTTCTAGTCCTGCTATTACTTTGCTTTGTACATTAGAAAGTGCCCCGCATCCTTATGAGTGGGACCGACTTCCTTGTCAACATTGAAACTGGTTAAAGAATGTGCTGACAATGGCATGAAACTGAACAGTTTTATTCATGAGGGAAGAAGGGAGAACTATTCATGATGGCAGTGATATTAATTGCTTTATTCCAACCGCTCCATAACTAGTGACGTGGTTCCAATTCAGGTTTGATTTGTCAGGGAAAACCAATAACGAAGCAAAGGAGGAACTAGAGGAGAAGAGAAGGGCTCAGGTAAATGTCCTTGCTAGAAATGAAGGTTTGCTTTTATTACAACTCTGTTGGACAGTATGATGAATGATTGTGTTGCATTGTGTTCAGGTGGTTGCTAAACTTCATGCCATATTGCGGCCATTTCTCCTCCGGAGGATGAAGGCTGATGTTGAGCAGATGCTCCCTCGGAAAAAAGAGATTATTTTGTATGCTACATTGACAGAGCATCAAAAGAATTTTCAGGATCATCTAATTAACAAGACTTTGGAGGGCTACTTACGAGAGAAGATGGACACAGGTTTTAGATTACTTTCAATTATGAGAATGCTATGTTAATACTCTTTCATGTATAACAAAGAAAAGGTGTTTGATCCACTGAATCTCATTTTGTGGACTTTCTGATATTTTTGCCCTGACTACAATTGAATTTTATGTGGTATGTTTGGTACTGGCTATTAAAGCATGAAAATGATTCCATGCATACGGAGAGATGAGCCATTGGATCTCATCAAATTGAAGAGTCAATGGCTGACATCTCATGCATACTTAAATAAAATATTCATGGAGTCTGTTCCACTAAAAAATGATTACTTGCAAGCGAGGAATTCAGAATATGAGATTTAAATATAAATTTTTGTACTGTTCTTATCTGTTATTGTTATGAAGAAAGATTGGTGAACCTAGGGGAAAAATTCATATTGATGAGAGATGAAATTAAATCATCTATCTACTTTCAAATAAATGATGAGAATCATCTATGTTTTACTTGTTTTTGATTGATTTGGAACATTTTAGGTATTGGGTCTCTACCTACAACTTATTATCAATTTTCTGAGACGTGTATTGTGAGATTCTGTTTCATTAACGGTTTTTTATGATCTGAATATGGTCCAAATGGAATTAGTGCTATATGATATGTTCATTTACAAGCTTGAGTTGTTTTCCACTTTTAATTAGTGCTTCCCACAGTATGTTCTCTAATCACTTGCTCGGATTTTGATTTGTTAAATTTCAGGACGTAGTATGAAAGGAAAGCTGAACAATTTGATGATCCAGCTTCGGAAGAACTGCAACCACCCTGACCTATTAGAGTCAGCTTTTGATGGCTCATGTACTTGCTTTAATCCATTTATACTTTTGTAGTGAATACGTGCTTTAAAGAATTTATTAACACTTCTTTCCTTGACAGATTTCTATCCGCCAGTAGAACAGATAGTTGAGCAGTGTGGCAAGTTCAGGTTGCTGGACAGATTATTGAATAGGCTATTTGCACTTAGGCACAAAGTATGATGTAGAAGTTGGTGATGTTTGTTTGTTTCTCATAAGTTTCCTACTAACCTTCTGCTGCTTT